ACTGTCTCCACAGTGCTTAATTAAAAAAAAAAAAGAGTAGGAAGGTATTAAAAGGCATTCTAGGGAAGTCCATGTTACAGAGACCAGATCCTCCACATTAATATATTAAGGATAGCATTCAGCATAGATTGTGCCACCAAGACAGATCAGGAGTAAGAAAGACACTCCGTTCAAAGTTTCCCTTTAAAGTGCTAGCATGTCAGGATAGTTTATTTAAGGTCTAAACTATGGCTACCCAAACAATTGTTGATGCTTTGATCTAACTTGGTGAGATCTAGTTTTGTGCTAAATGAAATAGACATACTTTATTCATAGGAATGCTTCCCTTCTCTTGAGAATAAATAAAATAGTTTACTGGATCATGGGCAATCCATCTACAGTAATACAATGGGATTACATTAAGAAAGAGTGTTTTCTATTCTGTGAGCCTTATCACTGTTTTGGGATAGGCATACTTGGCTAGACAGCCAAATTGGAGCAGGCTGTTGCAGGCTAAATAGGATTGCTTAAAGTTATGTCCAGGTATAGCATGCCATTTGGTGTGATTCTTGCATCCACAGGAAAGGATCAGGTGCTTTCAGGTCAGGAAACCACACTGCACCTTAAGCAACCCCTTTTTAGCCCACCTCTCTTTAAAAGGAAAGCAAAACAAACAACAGCAACAAAAACAACAAGATCCCTCTCCTGGTCCTCTCCTGTTTCCAACTCCTTAGACTTTCCCCCCTAAAAGGTACAGCACATTAGCGCTGCCCTAACTAGGCTTCAGAAATAGAATAAGCTTTCCTTCTTGTTTCTCCGCCTCCATGGAGGAGCAGGGGAAGTTTTCAATTTCCCAGTATCATTAGGCGACAATACTAGAACATTGAAAACAAACCATCTGTTTTGGTTTGATCCCAGCAATCGCATGCCAGAACCGAACCAAAACAAAGTGATCTTACCCGCAGTTAAAAAAGAATAGCTCCTGACAGGAAGACAAAAAAGTATGAGCAGGAACGCTCTGCTGTTGGGCAAGTTCCCACTAGCACTTACATTGTGTGGTCACTGGGAAAAGAAGCAAACTTGCCCACCCTCAGAGCAAGACAAACAGCAGAAAAAAAATCTCATCTGGTTGCATCCTTAGTTTTTCTTTAACAAAAAACTGCAACCTTGTTCATGCTATAATGCTATCCTTACAGGAGTAACTGCTTGAGAAAAATTCTGTTAGGATAAATTGCAGATCTGGTATTTCTGAAAATTAATTTTGACAAAATTAACTTTTGTTTTCTGTAGAACAACACATTAAGCAATCAGCATAATATATCTTGGTTTTTGTTTATTACCCTAGCATAGAGATTATCATTAAAACAATTACTTACGTTAGTTCACTCAATAATTCTGTATAAAAGCTTTTGCTGTATTTGTTCTGCACACAACGCTTATGCCCTGAATTCCTTAAATGCTGCCGGATTTACAAATGCATAAAACCAGGGCTGCTCTTGAATTCTACACAGCAACAGCCAGCATCCTGTTATTTGCACCCACTGGTGTAAGCAATAGTGTAATTTAATGGGAAATTGTCCCTAGATGAGACGTCAGCATTTGTATTTTTAGTGACATGGTCCACAACAAGAAATACAAGCCTCAACTTCTTAATGAGTGGCAATTTGTTGCTGAAATTTACACAACTGGACTTAATGTTGTTGTAATCAATTACATTTTCTAGGCACGAAATGTTTATTAATAGTTGTTTTTTCCAGATACATGCTAATCTGAGAGCTGAGTTGTTGTTGTTGTTTAGTCATTTAGTCATGTCCAACTCTTCGTGATCCCATGGACCAGAGCATGCCAGGCCCTCTTGTCTTCCACTGCCTCCCGGAGTAGGGTTAAATTCACGTTGGTCGCTTCGATGACACTCTCCAACCATCTCATCCTCTGTCGTCCTCTCCTCCTCCTGCCTTCACACTTTCCCAACATCAGTGTCTTTTCCAGAGCTGAGTTATACTTCCCCTAATCTCTTCTTGTAAACAATCAAACAAACAACGTTTCTGTATGGGACTGCTGACAAACAAACAAACAAACAAACAAACGTTTCTGTATGGGACTGCTGTTTACTACTTCCTACCCCTACCTTTTGTACTTTGATGTTATGCTTATTGGAAAAGAACACTGACAGTTCTGACCCGTTCATCTCCTTGATGGTCACAGCTCATTTAGTGGCTGCCCAGCACTGGGAGGCCTCTGACACTGTTCTTTTGGATGACTTGTTTTGGGGACACGGCCTTATTGGAAAGGCTGACTGGAAAATCAAAGTTGGCAAGATAGGGGACCAAAACTTCTCTATATGGGTTTTTTTTTTTAAACAGGAAAGATGGCTTTCCTGTGTGCTTGGTGATCAAAGATACCCCCCCCCCCAACCCCAAGTGCTGATTCAGAAAGACACTTAAAAAGCCTACAGGTTAGGAACATGCCACAATATTCACATTTGGTAATCTTTCCTTTTCTTTGTTATGATACATATGACTTGTTGGATATAAATTACCTCCACAATTGCCATTCTACTTTCAATACATTACTCAAGTGCACAATATGTATTTTCCAAACAGACAACGCACGCAAAAATTTCTTCCTTCTTTCTATTCCATAATCATGTTTCCTGCCACCTGAGATGGCAATCTTTTTTAAATTAAATAGTCTCCCAAACTGGATCTTCGAAATGAACATTTTATTATATTTCTTTCACCTTTGCCTTCTCCCATAAGACCTCTGAAAGGTAACCTGTCTATCTGTACAGACAGGACTTTTTAAATGCTATAGAACTATACAGAAATACAGTACATAATAGAGACTTCCTGGGCTTACTTTGGAAGGTGGAGATCAGAAGGCTTTCAGTGGTGTCTCCAGATATTTCTGTATCAGCAACGGCTGTCTGTCCAAGACACACTAAAGAGTTTACCAAAAAATATCCCAGCTAGAGATGGACGCAAAGTACTTTGCGTCCCTTTGTCATAAGTAGTCTGTGCAGCAGCACAGCTGCCATGCATTTCCTTCCCCCTCACTGACTCACCCTGATCCTTCCTGCCCTGTCGCACCATCTTCCAATCCAGACAGGAGCCCAGACTTCTCTTCTCCACCTCCTCCAGCAGCTGGCCACTCAAAGGTAGCACTGCTGGAATCCCTGCCCCACCTCCTCATCTGAGTGGCCAGCTCCTGGTGTAGGTGGAGAAGGGAAGTCCAGACTTCTGCTGGGACTTGAAGATTGCAGAACAAGGAAGGAAAAGAGCAACATGCACCGACAGGTCAAGTGGGTGAGCCAGTGAGGGGGCAAGTAGGGAGGGAATGCAAAGCAGCTGTGCTACTCCACAGACAGCTTGTGATGAAGGGGCACTAAGTACTTCATACCCATCTCTAATCCCAACCAAATTTAGGCAAGGAATTGCCTTGTTTGCCTCTGTAGCTGGGTTGGCCTTGAATATATGCCTATAACTGTGTGTGTTATGTGGCATCAAGTTCCTTCCAACTTACAGTGACCCGATGAATGAATGATTTCCAAAGGCCCTGTCATTAACAGTCCTGCTCAGGTCTTGCCTACTAAGGGCCATGCTTTCCGCTACCACTTCAATCCATATCTTCTCCTATGCCTACTTCAAATGTTCAACTTCAAATGCTCAACTGGCAGTATCTTTTGCAGTGAGTCTTCTTGTGATAAGTGAGAGTATTCCTCTCATTGAACATGCACACAAGTGCCCCCTCACAGCTCTAAGAATTTAATTTCCCTTACCGTTTAAAATCATTATTTATCAAGAACTGCAAAACCTAAGCATGGGAGAAGGTAAAATTGATAGGTGTGTGTCTGGCAAAGAGAGGGCTTCTGTCATACACATCTCCCACTGCTATCTCACTCTCCCCCACCCCTATTACTCAAGCGTACATCAACGCTGTGTATATGAGCTGATGAGGGCAGTAGTATCCCTAATATTAGAAGGCTGAAAGGCTAACAAAGTCCCCTGGTTAGCTAACGTCCAGATATCTTACCAAATAAATATCCTTATCTAATTCCTAAGGACCATAAGTCCCAGATAGTGTGAGGAGCAGGTCGTTCAACCAGCAGCTTGAGAAAACCAGGGGAGTCTAGATCAAACGGGAGGGCTGTCATCTGTGATGGATGTATAATGCTGACCCTGGACATTAAACAAATCAATCCGCTGGAAGGCTTGCAAGACCACAACGTGCAAAGAATTTACTGTGACAGAATGTTGGCTCTAGTGCAGGTGTGGCATCTAGGTGTGGTCATGAATATTCATATGCTATTTGCATAGACCATTGGGAGTGCTGGAGGGGCAGAGTCATAAGATATAAGAGACTCGGCAGAAGGAGGAGGAGTTTAGATAGAGTTTTGAGATTGAGAGGGAGTTTAGGAGTTTGGGTGGGAAAGTGGTGGTTAAGAAGGAAAAAGGAGAATGTTTGTTTAAGAGTTAACAACATTGCTTGTTCTGTCAACACCTCTATCAATAAACAATTTCTGTTTGGTTCTTTTAAAATGCCATATTGCCTGGACCTCGGTTATTAATAATACGTATTGTTGATGTAATCAACTGGTGGTAGCTGAGGGGCACATAGCGTGAGCTCTTTGTTTGGTGAACTAGGCAGGGGCCAAGTGGAATCACGACAGCAGGAATGCCAAAACTTTGGCACAGCAGATGTATTGGAGTACCTCTCCCATAGACCGTTAGCATGGACAAAACAGACTATGGATTCTGGAAGCTGTGGTCCAAAACATCTGGAGTGCCAAAGGCTCACCACGCCTTCCCTAGTATAGTTCCTAGCTCTGGCTACCCTACTGACGTTCCACCCTGTGAATAAAGAATGATGCTCCTTACATGGATAACCCTTATATCATTTTTCAGTAGCGCCAGTTACAAGAATGTGTCTAAGCAACATTTTTTTGTGGGAGATAAAGAAACATTAGAAACAGAATTACTCTCATACTAATAACGTGTAAGAAGAAGTTTTGGGAGACTTACTTTTGGTGGTCTCCAAGCGCTCTTTGTCCAATAGATTTTAGCAAGGATTCCGGATGGACGGCCACCTTTGGTGATGTTTTGGGACTGCTGTCAGAATCTCCACTTTCCTCATCTCCCATGGCTTTAATGTAACTCCCACTCCTCATCCTTCTGCAGGGAATCTCCTCATCTTTACCACCAGCAGGGTATCCTCCCCATTCATCTTGAGGCACCTAGGACCGTATGTGACAACAAGCACAAAACCAATAAATCTGACAGTGCCATGGAACCCTCTTAGGAATAAACAACTAATACGAATCGCATACACAGTTACTGAAAAGTTATCATTTAGTCAGGCCATTAAGGTCATTGACTGTATTCACTTGGGAAGAACATAGATGACTATTTGCAAAGTTGTAACTAAACAAATCAACATAATACAAAGTGAATAAATAAATGTGTTTTTTAATTGAAGATGTGGCTGTATTGGTTTTTTTGTGTGTGTCTGTTTTTAACTGAACTGTTTTAATTGATGTTGGAAGCCACCCGGAGACTTTTGCAGAGTGTGGGTGGCATATAAGCCAAATAAATAAATAAATAAATAAATAAATAAATAAATAAATAAATAAATAAATAAATTTATTTAACCAATATTGTACAGGTGAATGTAACAAACAGTATAGCAACAAAATTAAAAACGTGGTCACTATATTCTCAGATTTATATTAAGAATCTCATAACTTGTTTTTAATACTTGTGCATTTAAACTAGTTTAAACAAATCTAGTGTTGAGAGTTTAGATGAGTGAGTCCACAGCAAAACTGGGATTAATACCATGGTTCACATTAGGAACAGCCACATGAGTCAACTGCCCCATTTTATCTCATCCGACCTGCACATATATTGCTCTAAAACACAGGTAACTTTATTTGACCTTCAGCCAAATTATCTTTGTGCAAACCATTTCATTCCTGGATGCTGCATCCCTTTGTAATTCAGTTGTGTCTTTTCCCTCAAGCCACAGCCTATATTTGAAGCTACCATCTCGCTTTCTCTCATGGAATCCATGGAAAAGCACAACCTCAATTCCCACACCAAACTGTGTTTTTAGCAAGCATTTCACCAAACCACTTTACTCAACTGAAACATAAGATGTTATTAGAGCAAAATTATGAGGGATAAATGCCATTAATTCTGGGAACTATAATCTCAAACCCTTACTTTTCTGAGCTCTGCATATCACATACCCATGAATGAAATCACATATTTTTGTATATCTGTACTAGACTGACATGCTTTGATGGCGAGTTCAGTGACTGATTTTTAAAAAGGTGAGTTGCCAAATCGCTGGCTGAAATCTCATGGAATTGCTATGTTTCCCTCATTGTCCAAATGTGCAAATAAATTTCAGGCCAAGGGGAAGAGAAGAATGTTGGATATTTGTGTATGAGGTATTTTTAAAGCCTGGGTGCTCATCTCCACCCATTCCCACCTATTGTCAGGGCTCACAGACCCAGAGTGAAGATGTCTTGTATGGGTGCCTGCTACCCTCCCAATCCCTTAGGACCTGCCTCTGTGATGACATCACAAGACCTCACCCCATGACATCATGAGGGGGTTTCCCTCTGACACCACAAGGAAAAAAAAACCCTGGTCTCTGAATTTGGCCCTGAAGTCTGAGGCAATGCGATGCTGTTCTTCCAATATGACCCACAGGGTCCCTTCCCACTCTGCAGTTCTAAGATGATGATGACAATGACGAAAGGGTGAAGAGTAGCTTTAAAAACTATTATTTTAATTAATTGTGTACAATTTTTGAAAATAAAATGCACCGTCTCCTGCTCCATTTAAACCACGGCAGGTGTCTGGTCAAGAAGTCTTAAGTGCAGGATGTCAAGGGAGGCCATTTCCAAACTCTTTTCCTTATTTAACTCCCCCCCCCAATAAATTTTTTTCTTCCTTTTCTTTCTTTTCCAAAAAAAAGAGAGGGTGACGTGAACAGCCCTGCCTAGGCAGCAGGTGACCAAAGATTCCTGGGCTGAAGGGGACAGAGGTCTGGGAGGCAGAGAGAATGCAGGGAAGTCAAGACTCATGTCTTCAAAAAAGTCACCCCAATCCGCTTGCCTCCTCCTCCTCCTTTATACGGTGGGAAGGAATTGGGTGAGAGCCCAGCTCAGCCCTCTCCCCCAGCTCTTTCCTCTTTTTCCTCTCTGAATTGTATCAAAGGTGAAGGAAGATCCACAAAACAAGCAGGAGGAACAATGGACCAGAGGAGCTTTACTTCCCCTGCGTGTGATCAATAGCAATAGGCTCGGCTACTAAGAAGGACGGAGAGGGGATAAGGAAAAGGGAATGCGTGCGTGTGCAGATTCGGCTCTGAGACCAAAAACATAAAGTTGCCATCTACTTGCACATTTTTTGGCCATGTGCATTGCACTTTGCCCTGTGGGTGTTAACACCATACAGTATTTGATTCTCTGTTACCACAGCTCTGCTTTCTGAATTTGTTTCTACAGCTTCTTGGGGCTTTTCTCTCTCTTTTTTGGGATGTGCATGTGAGGGGACTACCTGTGCCAGTACATAATGAATGGGGAGGGAAAAAATGAAACAAAAGAACCCAAAAGAAGCCATCCTTTTGGGTTTAACGCAAGGGCAAGTGCATGGAAGACCCTGAAACAAAAGAAAAAGAAAAGTTTTTTTCTGGGAGTACAGTGGACCCTCGATTTACAGACGGCTCGACTTACAGACTTTTCAAGTTACAGACTTCTCTGGCTGCAAAATTTAGGTTTGACTTGCAGTCGGAGAATCGACCTACGGACCAGAAAAGAAACCAAAATGGAACAAAAACGGAACAAAAACAGCCGGTTATGGATTAATCGGTTTTCAATGCATTTTAGGTCAATGGAGACTCGACCTACAGACTTTTCGACCTGCAGCCACCATTCCAATACGGATTAATTCCGTAAGTAGAGGGTCCACTGTAGCTTGTCTTGGTGTGGAGCGAGATACCTGCATGTCCACCTCTTCCTGTATGAGAAGGCCCTGTTATGTATCCCACCTCCAAAAGAACAAAACAGGATTTTTTTTTAAAAAAATCCTCTTTTTCTGTAATGGCACCTGAACTGTGGAACTTCTTCCTTCCCAGGGGAAGTCAGGCTGCCTCCATCCTTGTTGAGCCTTGACTCAGCCATGAAAACTCTTATTATTTTGTCTAGGCATCGGTTTGTCAAGTTCAACCGAATTTGAACACACATGAAGAAAAGGAAATGTATCTTTTTCTTCTGCTGGAATCTGGACTTCCATATTCAGGCCAGCACATTAATACACATCTTTTAATTTGATATATGCCTGGCCAAAGCCTGCCTTCAATACATGACAGAAACTGAAAACAGAATAGTGAAGGCATGCCATAAAGACTCCGCAGAAAATTATTACACTCACTGCATAGACATTTTCATTTATGCACAGAGGCCTTTCCACCACCATTAAAATGGTGCCTCTCCCTTGAATACATTTTGATGGTCACATATGAACCAGGTCAGTTCTTCCCCCAGCCCATGCACAGCTTAATCAGAATCATTTATGCATCTGCCATCTGGCATGTAACTAAAAAATAAAGCATGTTTGATATGCCGCTTCTCCCTTAACTACAGTATCCTTCACAGCACTAATAAACTACATAACGAAGCATCTCTCTCTCTCTGCTATTCATTCAGAACAGCAGTAAAAATCTGTATACATGTGCTGAAGACCATCAAAGTGGCTTTATGACTTGTGCAAATAGTTACTGGTGCTTGAAATTCCCATCTGCAGAGTTTGCATCTGCTAATTGGGAATAATTACCCTAATTACTTACTTGCAACAAGTGTGGATATCTTTAGTTTCTTAAAAAATGTGTGCCCCCCCGTACTGAATCTTAAATTCTTGCCTCTGCACTTTATGATACACATAGGATACACATGTCCAAACCTCAAAAACTGAACCAGGGAAGAAGAAATGCCAGCATCAGGGCAGAAACAAGTGTGGTTTGGGAACACTTGCCAGCAAAAGGTTGATCACCAGTTACTCTGAAAGGAAAGGGCTCTGATTTATGCAGGCAGATACGCTTTGTGCCAGATGCAATAGGCACATATTTTGAAGTCAGCAGGTTTAGCATGAAAATAAAATATCTGCAGAGGCAAACCACACTTGGGCGAATTCAAGAAAACCACTATCAAGGCTAAACTAGATCTACAGATGGCACTAATTAGAAGCAGGGATTCTTTAAGTGCTGAAAGTCATATATTTGTCATGTCGTTGTTATGTGCTTCCATATAAACGTACGGTGATCTTATGAATTCATGGAGAGTCTGTGTAGTGTAGCATAGGCCTAGGAATCAGGAGACCCAGCTTCAAATGCATGTTTGGTAATGGGAACTCACTGAGGAAGTGTAACTACCTGAACATCATACATACCTCAACAACTGCATGACAGTCCTCATTAAATCAGAAGTCTCTTGAGGGTAGATTGCAACAAATGAATTAATGAGTGGCAGAAGTTCATATCACTAGCAGCCTTGCTCAGATCTTATAAAGTAAAGGCCCCGACTTTCTTTATTGAATCAGTACCTCTTGTGTTCTTTCTCTTTTAGGACTGCCTTCTCCATTTGCTAGCATTAGTGTCTTTTTCCATGGGTCTGGACTTCTCATGATACGTGTAAAGTATGATGACCTTGTTTTAGTCATTCCAACTTCTGGCGAGCTCATGCTAGATTCGATCTAGAACACACTTACACTTCTTTCTGATGCCCCATGGTATTTATAAAGCATTCCTCCAAAACCACATTCCAAACGAATCAATCTTGTTCATGTCAGCTTTCATAACCATATATAGTAATGAAAATTACCATTATATGGGTGATCTTGGCCTTGATCTCTACTAATATACCCCTTACATTGAAGGTGCTTCTCTAGTTCTGTCACAGCTGCCCTCCCAAGTCTGATTCCTTAGCTGGAGTTTCCATTCTGAGTGATGATTGAACCAAATGCAGAAAAGGTTCAATTGGCTGGTTGTCAGCATCTAGTTATATCATTCTTCTGTGGTCACGTTTTTGACTTCTTAATGTTCAACTGTAATCCTGCTGTTGCACTTTCTTCTTTATCCTTCACGTCAAATCACTGGTCTTTTCTGCTAGCAATATACTGTTAGTAATATAGTTCCCAGTAAGCAGCAGGCCAACTTTTTTTTAAAAAG